TGGAGTATAAAAGGAATCAATCTAGACGTGGCAGGCTTATGTTCTCTTATTAAAAGATAGTTAAAAAAAAACAACTTCTTTAAAAGGTTACGATGCGTGCACAAAAGTAAAAATGCATATTTTTTACTACCACATCGTCCGCAATTGGAAAATTTAGCCAAATACGTGTGTGCTCTATTTTACAATATACTATTAAACTATGATCCTGCTGCACCACTTTTTTATTTGTTCATTAAAAAGTTACAGAGCGAAAAAGAGATAAGCAAAGCCCCCAGAAAACCAGTATATATAATACCCAAGGCATTTTTTGTCCATGTCATCAAATGTGCATCTTTCGTTCGATTTTCGAAAATGAGGTGTCAAATGAAAGAGCTTGGGCTGTAGATGCTAGGACTTACCGTTGATTTTTTGCAGTTTATGTTCGGAAATTTTTTTATATGAAAGAAATGCGGAGCACCTTCAATAAAAAAAATTGCCAAAAATCAACGGTAAGTCCAAGATACTTAAAATTTGCAATTTTCTGTGCTAAAATTTGATGGGCTACAAAACTGAATACCAAAATTTTTGCCAAAAGTTGCTGATAAAAATATTAGAAATTTTGGTAAAAGTTTGCAGATTTTTCATAATTTTTGCACAAAGTCTGAAATTAGGATTTATATCATGTTTGTTAAGCTATACTTTCATAAAAAAATAATAAACATTAAATAAAATACAGAAAAATAGCCAAAACTTACTTAAATGTTGCGTTCCAGTTTTTATTTGGTTCACTGTATGTGTATCTCGGTAACCGATTTATCAATTTGTACCAAACTCAGTACAATCATTGACCTTGGCATAAATCATACTAAAATTACGCCCACTTTCGATTTCAAAAAAAAAGCGCGTAAAAAACGTTAAAAACGTATGGTGCGTTGCTTTAAAATGTTGCACCCCGTTGGATGTTGTATTCTAGCAGCTAAAGGAATGTATACTAAAAATTACAGACATGTGCTCAAGATTTAAGAAAAATAATTTTTTTCACAAAAAAATTCGAAGTTTTTGAGAATTGCCCGTATATATTTTTATTTAAAATTTTCACCATTCATATCATTTATAATATTATTTTTTTATAAAAAAAGCGCTGCATGCCAAAATTTGTAATAAAAAAATTCGAGATTTTTTATTCCAAATTTTCACAATATACCTTATAAAGAGGTATGGAGGATGGTTCCGTGCGCAGAAGTGGAAAACTTTTCACTGCCATTCACCTCTGAGTGGCCAGAAGCGAGTCTTGTGCGTACGGTTCAAATCGCAGCTCACAACGTCCGGATATTTATATCCACGTATCCTTTGGGTAGCAACCAAACACCCGTTTGGGAGCGAGCTAAAGTAAGAAGGCGTAAAACTTCACGTGCGCTGGGTTTGGGTCCCGCCACGTTAAAACCCTGCCCAATGAAAAAATCCAAAAAGGCTCGGATGAGACCCCCTTTTCCTGATGACGATCACGGCAAACGTATAAAGGACTATGATTTAAGGGTATGCACCTGGAATATCCGGACCCTTAATGGGGAAGGTGCCTCTGCCCGGCTGGGTAATGTCCTCGGGAAGACAAAGGCTGACATCACCGCCATCCAAGAAATGCGATGGACGGGGCAAGGAAAAGCAAGCGTGAAGCCTTGCGACGTCTAATAGAGTTGCCACGTAAAGGAGCGCAAATTCGGTGTTGGATTCGTGGTAGGAGAGTCGAGTACTGGCGTTCACCCAGACGGCCTGCCAGCCGAGCTATTCAAGTACGGGGGCGAGGAGCTGATGAGGTGCATGCATCAGCTCTAGGGTTGCCAGACGGGCCTGATTTGGCCTGATTGTCAAGTTTTTTAATGCGCGTCAAGTGTCAAGTGAAAAAGTGATTTGTCAATGTTTTTTGTAAGTTAATTTTTTTCACAAATTTATTCTAGCTACATATGTAATAATACTTAAAAAAAGTAAGTTTATATTTCTAAAAAACACATCGAAAGAGAATATTTTTACTATCAATACAACTAAGAACTAATATGATACATATTTTTTCTGTGCAATTATAATTTAAAAAATATAGGTCTCTTTAGGTATGTACAATTATAATAAAAGTTCCAACACTGATATTTACCCCATTACTCAACACTGGTAAATTGACAACATTGTAATAAAGTCAGTCATATTTGATCTCTTAACTCTCGCGCATTCTTTTCTTCTTGTCGCTTATAAACAACAAAGTAACACACACACATACATACGGTTGATTAACAAACGTTTTGCCCGGCAATATTTGCAACTAAATTAATTAAAATTTAACTGCAAGTTCGAAGCAAATGAGTTTCTTAAGAGAGCTACCAGTTATTTAGCTGAACGGTATGATTTTGGAGAAACATCAATATACAAACAAATTTCCTGTCTAAATATAAAAAAGTCCCTTCTGACTTGGAATAAGCTGTTAGAGCTGCCGAAATTATTAGGTATTTCAAATGACATTGACAATGATAAACTGTATGCCGATTACTGTGTTCTTCGAGAAGTTTACGATATTTTACCAAAAGATATACCAAATGATAGAATATGGTCATATTTTTTAAAAAAGTGTGCAGAAAGCAATCTTCAAAATTTAAAAAAGTTGATCTCATTTGTGTTTTCTATCCCAATAAGCAATGCCTTTTGTGAAAAAGCATTTAGTGTTCTAAATAATTTATATACCAAAGATAGGAATAGAATGTCCTTCGATCTAATAAAAGCCGAACTATTAATAAGAATAAATTTTAATGAGGATTGCAAAAACTTTCAAAATTTTGTAACAACACCCGATGGTAGAGAATTAATTAATTCTGTATCTAAGAACACGAAATATATGTGGCAAAATAAATAGAACCTATATTTTTTTTCTTAAGATAGTACCTATATTTTTTTTGAAATAACGCCTAAGTTTTCTTTAAAATATATAAAGACTGAATTTTTATTGTTATATTGTTTTTTGTTTTTTTTACATTGTTTCTGTTATTTTTTCTTTTTATGATATTTTTGTTTTTATTCTAATAATTTTTATGAAAAAAAAATAATAAAAAATTAAACAAAAACCCATAGTATGAGTGTTTTTATTTGTTAAGTTTTTTTTTCAAAATCAAGTTTTTTTTTGGTCAATGTCAAGCTTTTTGACAAATTGGATCTGGCAAGCCTAATCAGCTCATATGCAGAATATGGTCAGATGAACACATGCCCGACGACTGGAATTTAAGTGTGCTCTGCCCAATCCACAAGAAAGGCGACCCCGCCCTACGCGCCAACTACCGCGGAATCAGCCTTCTAAGCATAGGTTATAAGGTCTTATCGAGTGTATTGTGCGAAAACCTGAAGCCCACCGTCAACGAGCTGATTGGACCTTATCAGTGTGGCTTTAGGCCTGGAAAATCCACCATAGATTAGGTATTCACAATACGCCAAATCTTGGAAAAGACCCGCCAGAATAGGATCGACACACACCATCTATTTGTCGATTTGAAAGCCACTTTCGATAGCACGAAGAGAAGTTGCCTTTATGCCGCAACTTTATGACTGAATTTGGTATCCCCGCGAAAATAATACGGCTGTGTAAAATGACGTTGAGCAATACCACCAGCTCCGTCAGAATAGGGAAGGACCTCTCCGAGCCGTTTGATACCAAACGAGGTTTCAGACAAGGGGACTCCCTTTCGTGTGATTTCCTTATTCTGATGTTGGAGAAGATAATAAGAGCCGCAGAACTGAACCGTTCAGGCACAATACTTTACAAGAGCGTACAATTGCTGGCGTATGCCGACGACATCGATATTATCGGTAAAAACAAGGACTACATCTGTTCTGCATTCTCGGGATTGGATAGAGAAGCAAAGCGAATGGGTCTGGTGGTGAACGAGGACAAAACGAAGTATCTCCTGTCATCACACAAACAGTCACAGCATACGCGTCTTGGCACCCACGTCACTGTTGACAGTTACAAGTTTGAAAAAGTAGACGACTTCGTTTATTTGGGAACCAGCATTAACACCAATAATAATGTCAGCCTTGAAATCCAACGGAGAATCACTCTTGCCAACAAGTGCTACTTTGGGCTGAGTAGGCAATTGAGAAGTAAAGTCCTCTCTCGTCGTACAAATATCACACTCTATAAGTCACTCATCATGCCTGTGCTGGTGTATGGCGCGGAGGCATGGACAATGAAAGCATCTGATGAGGCGGCTCTTGGAGTTTTCGAGAGAAAGATTCTGCGTAAGGTTTACGGACCTTTACGCGTTGGTGATGGCGAATATCGCAGATGATTTAACGATGAGCTGTATGAGCTTTACAACGATATAGACATAGTGCAGCGAATTAAAATTTAGCGGCTCCGCTGGCTTGGCCATGTCGTTCGAATGGACAGAAACGCTCCTGCTCTGAAAATAATCAACGCGGGCCGCGATGCTGGTAACAGAGGAAGAAGAAGGCCTCCTCTGCGTTGGAAAGAACAGGTGGAGAAGGACTTTGCTGCACTTGGCATTTCCAATTGGCATCAGTTAGCACAGAAGAGAAATGACTGGCGTGCTGTTTTGGACTCGGCCAAAATCGCTAAGGCGGTTACAGCGCCAATAAAGAAGACAGCCGGTTCTACGTACCGGAATGACTCGGGTTTCACCCGACCAAGGGCTGTTGTTTCGGCGATCTAACCCCGTCTAGATCGGCGATACCCATTAATCATTATCCGTCCATGGAGCAATACCTGGCAGCCGGATTGCTCCGCATCCTTCTTCTCCGGGCGGGCGTAGAGCCCAACCCCGGACCTGAAATTTACTTCTGCTGTGTTTGCCAGAATCGACTCCACCCGAACTCCACTTCGGTTAGGTGCAACTCCTGCAACGGGTGGAGTCACCTAAGAACCTGCTCTGGCCTTAGGTCTCACCGGGAGTGGACCACAAACTTTGTGGCTCCCTGTTGCTCAAGCCAAATGGCACAATCAGCCTCCACGGCTACCCACTCGCGTAATGCACGGGTGCGACCTAGCACCCGAAGAGCCTGCACGGCCCCTAGAAGCTCCCCTGAGCAACAGCAAACCTCCCAACACACCCCTCCCACACAACCTACCGACCGGTCCCACTCGCGAGCGCGAGCCAACCAGCAGCTACTGGTTGCCCACACCATCTGCTCCGTGTGCCAGAACAGAATATACCGGAATGTGACATCAGTCAAATGCAACACATGCCTTGGCTGGTGCCACTTCCGGCTATGTTCTGGTCTACGCACCACTCGCGAATGGACTACAAACTACAGCGCCCCTTGCTGTAGTGCACCGCCGGCGCAGACAACAACGCCCATATCGCAGCCACCTACCATCAGGCTGCAACAACAACTGCGTCAGGCGCAACAGGCCCAAGGTAGGCCCCACACTTCTCTCACCCCCCGTATCGCGACCAGCCTCCCAAGGCACATGAACGTACTCCAACTCAACTGCAACGGACTCCAGAGCAAGATTGAGGAGATAGCAGTCTTCATGGGTCGGCACGGCATATTGATAGCTGCGGTCCAAGAAACGAAGTTGCACAGCAACTCAACTTTGTTGGGTTGCGCCGCCTACAATGTGCTCCGTAAAGATCGCGAGAGAGATAATGGTGGAGGACTAGCGTTCATTCTACACCACACAGTGCAGTATCGGCTAATCGAAGAAGACATCGACCCAAGGGACACTACCCTAGAATGTCAGGGCATAGCTGTCCGGTCAGGCGATGTCGAGCTCGAAATATTTAACGTGTACATACCCCCTGTCACCTGCTGCCCGGCTGGATATCTCCCTGACATAGGTGCGCTACTCAGAGGCGAAAACCGATTGGTAGTAGGGGACTTCAATGCGCACCACGATCTTTGGCACTCAAGCCTGGCCAATGATCGGAGGGGACACAGTTTGGCTGAGCAGATAGACGATTCGACATTCTGCACCATGAACGACGACGCCCCCACCAGGATTGTGGGCAGCTGCAGCAGCTCGCCAGACCTAACAATTGCTAGCGCTGGTCTGATAAATAGTATATCATGGCGACCTATGCTAACGTTAGCATCAGACCATCTGCCCATAATCATCTCAATCAATAAGCCCACCGACTTTGCTCCCGCGGATCACCGAACCTACACCAACTTCAACAAAGCTGATTGGAACGGCTTCGCGGAAGTTACCGAGAGCAGCTTCGCCGCCCTCCCCACACCCACAGACGTACATGCTGGTGAACGCCAGTTCCGCAAGGTAGTCACAGCCGCAGCAGATCGCTTCATACCGTCCGGACGCATCGCGGAAGTCCGCCCAAATTTCCCGGCTGAAGCAGCTGTACTAGCAAATGAGCGTGACCACCTACGCCAGGTCGACCCCGGGGACCCTCGCTTGAGGGAACTTAATTTGGAGATTCGGCAACTGGTGAATCAACACAAGCGGACAAAGTGGGAAGAGCACTTGAAGGCCTGTAACTTCACCTCTGGTGTGAGTAAGCTCTGGTCAACCGTGAGGTCCTTGTCCAACCCGACGAAGCGTGATGACAGAGTGGAAATTTCATTCGAAGGTCACGCCTCATCGGACCCGAAGAAATGCGCGAACTATTTCAGTCGGCAATTCACACTGCATCCTTCGGTAGACAAGGCCAAACGTCGAGTGACCAGGAGGCTGCACAAACTGCCCAAAAACGATGCACCACTTGTTTTCACCGGCGGTGAAGTGAAGGGGGCCATCGGGAAGGCGAAAGCCTCCAAAGCCATTGGACCCGACGGAATCTGTATGCTGATGTTGAAACATTTGGGGCCTGTGGGGGTAGCATACCTCACGGAGGTCCTCAATCTGTCTATGACCACTCTCATCATTCCTGATGTGTGGAAATCAGGGAGAGTGGTCCCACTGCTGAAACCGGGGAAGCCCGCCAACAGAGGAGTCTCTTATCGCCCGATAACGCTCCTTTCCCCGGTCGCGAACACACTTGAGGCCCTGCTGCTCCCATACTTCACCTGCCACCTAACCCCAGCGAAACATCAGCATGGCTTCCGTAAAGTGCACAGCACAACAACAGCACTTAACGCCATAAACACCCAGATAACTCGTGGCCTAAATCGAAACCGCCCCTGTGAGAGAACTGTCCTAGTAGCGCTGGACTTGTCAAAGGCGTTTGACACCGTCTGCCATTCCACGCTGCTAGAAGACATTGAGGCCTCCTCTCTCCCACAGGGACTGAAGCGATGGTCAGCGAATTATATGAGTGGTCGGCAATCATCAGTAATCTTCAGAGATCAAACCTCGAAACCAAGAAGAATAAAACAAGGGGTTCCACAAGGTGGTGTTCTCTCCCCCTTACTTTTTAACTTCTATATCTCGAAACTCCCCCAGCCACCTGAAGGAGTTTCCCTGATCTCGTACGCTGATGACTGTTCGATTTTGGCGTCTGGGAATGGAATTGATGACCTCTGCTCAAAAGTAAACGGCTATCTCTCCAGCCTTTCTCGCTTCTTCACTGCAAGGAGCCTAACCCTCTCCCCAACGAAATCAACGGCGACCCTCTTCACCACCTGGACGAAGGAGGTCAGGCTTGAATTAGGAATTCACGTCGACGGCACACCCATACCGACGGTGAACAACCCGAAAATTTTAGGTGTTACCTTTGATAGCCTGCTCTCTTTCTCCGCGCACACAACCGCAGTTGTCAACAAAGTACAGAGCCGCAACAAGGTCCTCAAGTCGCTCGCCGGCAGCACTTGGGGCAAAGACAAAGAAACGTTGCTGGCAACATACAAGGCAATTGGCCGGCCGGTTCTAAATTATGCTGCGCCAGTTTGGACGCCGGGGACTAGTTGGACGCAGTGGACGAAGCTACAGACTTGTCAGAACGCCGCACTCCGGACAGCGACTGGGTGCCTTCTGATGACGCCTGAGCATCACCTACACAGTGAGGCCCAAGTGCTCCCCGCAAGGGAACACAACAAGATGCTCTGTAAGCAGTTTCTTGTGGGGTGTCACAGAAGTGAACACCCCAACAGACCACTGCTGGAGGAGGAGCCTCCGCCCAGGCACGTCAGGGGGCACCTATTCATGTACAAGGACTCAGTCCAGACCTACACAGACCAACCACTGGACCCAATGACGTACACACGAGCGATTAACGACATTCATAGGGAGTCTGTCTCCACCTACCTCGACTCCCGGCCTAGGAATGTCGTTATCGGAGCCCAATCACCACCTGTGGAAGAGACGGAGCTTCAGTTACCTAGAGAGACCCGCGTTACCCTGGCTCAGTTACGGTCTGGATATTGTAGCCGCCTAAACAGCTACCTGTCCAGACTCGACCCAAACATCCCAAATGAGTGCCCGGCATGTGCAGACTCCCCCCACGACACCAACCCCCTCTTCACATGCCAGCTCAATCCGACTCAACTAACACCCCTCTCCCTTTGGTCCGACCCCATCGAAACAGCTCGTTTCCTGGGCCTACCGTTAGTTGAGCTTGACGATAATGATTAAAAGTTGACCCGAAACAGGCGGGGCTTAGTAGTGCCGCTACAACAACAACAACAAGAAGAAGAAGAAGAAGAAGAAGACCTTATCAAATATTGTTTTATATTAAAAAAGGCGAAATTTAATATTTAAATTTTTAGCTCAAGAAAAATTACTATAAATATTTTTCATTATTTCTCTCGATTGAAAAAACACTTTGCTATTGCTGAACATTTTCTTGAAGAAATATTTACATACATATATGTATACTAGCTGGTCTCGTATGCGCCAGGCTTCGCCACGCGCTGAATGTGTACATATTAAATAAGGTGTGATTGACAACTAAATAGGTTGCAACCCTACTAAAAAAAGTAATATACAATTGCGAATCTGGAGGCCAAGCCCTTTCATTTGACCCCTCATTTCTTGTAATCTAACGAACAGCCCACATTTTTTAATTTTTCGCACGGGTTGCATTACCCACGGGTTGCCCCTTCGAAAAATATTTGTCGAAATTTGACACCTCATTTTTTAAATTGAATGAACTGTGCAAATCTAAATTAATTAACAAAAAATGCCCTCGCATATTATGCATACATAATTTTTAAATAGGTGGCAACCCCACTTAAACAAAAAATAAAAACTTATTTCACATTCAGAGACTATACCTTTTCACTTGGTACCTCAGTTTTTAGTCCAACAAACGATGAGGATCTTATAATTTTTAAAAAGTGGCAACTATACTCCAAAAGTAACACATTATTGAACATCTTAACGGCGAGCCCTTTTATTTGACATCTAATTTCTTATAATCCAACGAACAGTGCGGATCTTATAATAGTTTAGACAGGTGACACCCCTATAGGAATTTAAAGTTCTAAACATAATATTCCTGTCGATACAGATTATACTTAAAAAATCTCGTCGGAATCCGTTCAGTAGTTTTTGAGACTAACGTGTTCAAAGAATCTCGACTTTCTTTTAAACTATGTAGAGAAGATAGTAATTTTTAAATAGGTGGCAACCCTACAAAAAAATTAAAGTTTTTGTACATGCGAAGGTCATGCCCTTTCATTTGATATCCCATTTTGAAATCCAACGAACGATGAAAATCTTTTTACTTGTTATCAGGTGGCAACCCTACTCTGAAAAATAATCCATTATTGCACATCTAGAAGCCAAGTCTTTACGTTTGACTGCGATGGTGCAGAACTGATGCCTACGCTCATTATGATTGTATATAGTAATTTTATCAACAGGTGGCAACCCTATTGATAAAAATAAAACATTTGTGCTTTTCTAGAGGCCCATCCCTTTCATTTGAAACCTCAACTTTTGTAATCCAGCGAACCGTGCGGGTCTTATAGTTTTTTAGAAAGGTGGCAATCCTATTCAAATTCTAAATGAAAAAGGTAACTCTCTTTTTGATACAAAGTATATTGGAGAAAATCTCGTCAAAATCCGTTCAGTAGTTTTCGAGATTACCGCGTACAAAGAATCTCGACTTTCCTTTATACTATGTATAGATTTCTAGAGAGCTGTAAACTGATTAAAATATTATAATAGAAAATTTCTTTTTCATTTCTTTAGCGGGTTTTATATGTTTTTTTTTTTGTTTTTCTTGGGAGCAAGAAAATATGCTTTAGGCTCAAAAGTGACATAATCCCAATTGTGGATATGACACTAGGAAAAAAAATTTATCAGATATTTCGTGTAATTTGATACAAATCGTAATAAAACTAATATAACCAAGGTATTTTCTTCATTTCCATCAATTTCTTCATAATTGATCATTCTTCAAAATGAGATTAAAATGAAGCTTCACCGATGCCTACAAGTTTAGATATATGTAAGCTCGGATCCTAACGAAAGAAAATGTGGCTATTCAAGTGAATCAGGGCGTACATTGGGTGTCTCAGAACTACATAAGAGACTTTTGTGTCTCCCTCAACTGGTTTCATTTAGCATAAATAACATATTTACATGCAGGATGACGGAAATCCTAAGCCAAGATTACCGACAAATTCAAAATTTGAGGGATAGTAGAGCTCATCGTGGCAAAAACCCGTTTTTTCAGTTTAGATTTTGAAGGATAAAGAATTCAAGAACAGTTTTCGTGTATAAATGGATATTTATTTATATGGAATATTTATACCATGGTCACTGGGTGGTTTCTTAGTTTCCACACTAGAGCTTCAGTGTAGGTTTTGTAGAACTTGGTGTTCTCGAAGGCATAGTTCTTCTATAATGTCTAAGTTTTCGTAGTTGACAAATCGAGCGTGGGCATGTCTGGGTTAACCTCTTGAACATCTTTGAGAACTCCCGTGGGCCCGACAGTGGGACAGGCACCTGATCTATCTCGGTGTTTCGTGAGTGGAGTTCTCTAAGAGTTCAAGAAATTTCATTTCACATTATATCGATCGCAATTTTTCAATAATGAGAAGTATTTTCGTACGGGGTAGTAATCTTAATACTAGTTACTAGCCGAAACTTCAACTTCAAGACATCAAGGCATGATTCTATGGTTTCCAATTTGCCAATTTGTAACTAAGAATGTTAATTTCTTTCTATTTGATCTCTTTTATGATTTGGCATTTTTTGATTTGATTTGGTATTCAACTTGGAGGTAAAAAAAAATATTTTCTATAAAAATACCGTTCAAGCTTTAGCCAAAACCATATAAATTATATTTTCTAATTTTATAGAAACTTTAGGAAAATTCAACAAATTTCTTTCAAAACTTCAACTTTTCAATCTGAATCTTTAGAACATTTTTAGGTATGCAGTTTTATACCAAGTTCCAGTACTCTACCATGAACACTTCCAGAGATATGCAATATGAAAAATTCGGTTTGTATGTGAGGTACCACCCCCCCTGCACCTAGCGGTATGAAATATACTTTACATCCGATTCTCATACCTACCATATATACACAAAAAATTTTATAAAGATCGGAAGCGCCGTTTAGAAGGAGTTCGACTACAAACACCGTGACACGAGATTTTTATATATTAGATGTTTGTGTGGCACATAATAATTACTTCCAGGATTTATGTACAAACATATGCATGTATGTATGTATTTAAATACAAATTGACTAATTGACAAGCAATGAAAAAGTAGACGGAAAAGGAGAGCAAACTATCAACAAATTTTCGGGTTATTTGCTGTCGGAATTATTGTGTCGTCAATGACTCATTGGTGTGGATCCCTAATTGAAGCTTGACCTCCTCCATTCAGGTGGTAATAAGGGTCGTCTTTGATTTCGTTGGGTAGGGGGTTAGGCTCCGTTTTAGTGAAGAGACAAGAAATTTCGGAGAGTTAGCCGTTATCTTTGAACACAGATCATCAATTTCATTGCTGGACTAGACCAATCCGAACAATCGTCAGCATATGAGGTAATGGAAACTCCCTCCGTTGGCTTGAAGATGTAGAAGTTTAACAATAACAGGATAGGACACCACTCTTCATGGTTTCAAAGGAAAGGATACTGACGACTGGCGACCACTAATTTACTTAATTCACCGTCCACCGTTTTAGTCCCTTCTAGATGCTGTGCACTTTACGGAAGCCATGTTGGTTGCGCGAGTTGGAGGCTGGGCTGGCAGATGGTGTCACAAGGCTTGAGCTAAAAGGTTCACACTCCTTATGTGACCTATAGCCAGAACAGGTTCTTAGGTGGCTCCACACGTTGCAAGGAGGTTTCTGGTCTGCGGTTAGACTCAATGCCATCCCTGAGCAGAAGGATGCGGAGCAACCAGGGACAAACAACAATAAATAGGGTTCGGCGGTCTTAGGGTTAGATCGCCTAAGCAACAGCCCATGGTTGGAAAAAACCCCCGAGGCATTTCGGTGCCTAGAACAGGCTATCATGGGGATGTTACTTCGTCTTATTAGCGTTTTTAAGTGAATCTTTTCGTCGTTGGTGGTGCATTCCGTTGAGTATAGAATAAATATTATTCAGAAGCAATTTGTAACATCTTTTAATTGTTTTTGCATAGTACACGCTCTTCAAAATTCGTTCATCAGAAAATAATCTTTTATTTGGTACACCATGCATAAATACTAAGAAAAAAGTAACATGGTTTTTTTAAACAGCATCATTTTTGGTTTTTTACATGTTACCGATTCGATATTTTTGAACAAAAAAAGTATTTTTAAAACAAACTTAAACATAAGTTTATTAGATCGATCAGAGAGTGGTATTGTCTAGAAATTTTCATAAAGAATCAGTTCAGCCCAAATTTCAAACAAGAGCACTCTGTAATTTGTGAAAAGTTTGTTCAACCGAGAGAATGAGTTCAGCCTAGGGTTGTTATGCCTTAATTTATATATAGAGGACAACTATCAAAAAAAAACATTCAACATTTGCATTGTGAGCAGGAATATAGAAGGTATACTCAATTACCTTTTTTAGCTCACAACAATTTTCATACTTAGCAAAGAAAGCGCACCAAAAACTGTTAAAATTTAAAGTTTTGTCGTTTATACCTTCCAAAAAAGCTTTATAGCAATGAAACTCGTTAAAAAGTAGTTATTCATCAATTAACAACCCAAATTTACATTAAAATTCAACCGAAGACTGAATGTCGGACCACAAAACGGAATCAGTGCCTTTGAAATCCATCCAGTCGAAGACATCAACAATTTTTAACGGAAGGGTCCACGATTTTAAATAATCTATCATTATTTTATGAAAATTGGTTATTTCTTCAAAAAATAAAGATTTCGAGCTCTCGCTAAGAGTTACGTTATTTTGCAAAATTTGTTTAACTTTTAATGGCAGAAAATTATGGGCAAGTGTTTCAGTTAAATTGAAAACTATGCAATCTAAAACCTTTTTAACTTCAAATATTGAGTTATCAGTTGCGTTTGTTTACTCATTTCCAGTAAAATCCAGTAAAAGTTTTTACGAATTTTCATGTTTTGGCATTTTCGTACGCAAAAACTTGCAACGTAGGGGAAATTGAGAGAGCGGAAAATGACGGTTGAAGTTGCAAGTTTTTACTGAATTTTACTGGATAAATTTTTACTTGTAAGAATTTGCCAGTACGAAAAACAGCTGATCGCATGTTGCTGGATGAAATTTAAACTAATAAGGAAACTGTTTGTGGGTTTTTATTGTTGAAATTCACAAACTGAACCTTTGCAAATATATAATATATTGTTTTATTAGGAAATTCCTGCGAATGAACAACCAATTTATCAGCTGTTAATGAAACTTGAAAATTATTACTGGAATAGCGTTCGCGTACTTTTTTGTAAAATTTGTCTATGAGAGCGAATTCTTAGAAATAAAGTTACTGGAGAGTTGCTGGCAAGTTACTGGATAATTTGTAAACAAACACAACTATCATGTCGTTCAATGCTTCCAATATTCGAATGTATTATATTCATTGTGGAATGTACAATAAACAAGTACGCTTCGCTTAAGGGACATTCAAAAAAAATTTTAATTACTTTCGGCGGATTATTCAAACTTATAAAGTAACTCTTGAGCGGTTCATATAGTTTCAATAAACGCTCTATCGCTGGATGTAAACTTAGCCATCTAGTTTTTCTGTGATAAAGTAATTTAACGTATTCCACCTCAGATTGTAGACAGAAATCTTTTCAAGTCTCAGTTCTAACTGTAAAAACCGAGAAATCTTACTAATATTATAAATGTGAAAGTTTTTATGTTTGGATGTTTGGGAAATCATCACGCGGAAACGACTGAACGGATTTGCATGAAGTTTTTTACGCATATAGCTTATGGGCCAGATTGGTAATATGCTATTTTTTTTAAGAGTTGCCACCTGTTAAAAAGTTTAATTTATTTAATATGCGGGAACGACTGAATGGATTTGCATGAAAATTTGCACACAGATAGGTTATGACCTACAGTGAGAAATAGGCTATTTTTTTTGAAGAGTTGCCACCTGTTAAAAAAGTTTAATTAAATTAATACGCGGAAACGACTGAATGGATTTGCATGAAATTTTGCAAGCAGAGAGCTTATGACCTACAGTGAGAAATAGGCTAATTTTTTGGAAGAGTTGCCACCTGTTAAAAAAGTTTAATTAAATTAATACGCGGAAACGACTAAACGGATTTGCATGAAATTTTGCACACAGATAGTTTATGACCTACGTTAGAAAGTAGGCTACTGTTTTTAAGAGTTGCCTCCTGTTAGAAATGTTTAATTTAATTAACACGCGGAAATTAATAAACTGATTTGCATGGAAGTTTCCACACAGATAGCTTATGAGCTAGGCTGAAAAATAGGCTACTTTTTTTAAGAGTTAACACCTGCAAAAAAAGTTTAATTAAATTAATACGCGGAAAAGTCTGAACGGATTTGCATGAAATTTTGCAGGCAGATAGCTTATGACCTACAGTGGAAAATAGGCTAATTTTTTGGAAGAGTGAGAAAGTGGAAACACCTGAAATGTGCAGCAACATATAATGTCTTCAAGGGTCATAGAAGAGAAGCCACCAGAGCCATTAAATTGCAAAAACTGAAATACTATGAGCATCAGTTTAGCACAGCAATAAGTTCTAAAAAAAACATGGAAATATATTCGTGAAATAGGGATTGGCAACAAAAGTAATCATGTTTCAGAGAATATAAACGTAGATGAGCTGAATGAGAAATTTGTACAATTATCCGCCTGTAGCAGTAATATATGTCGTGAAAAGTACAGTGTATGTATGAATGGAACAATACCTGGTTTTACCTTCTCCAATATTGATGATTGTGCCGTTGTCGAGTCCGTCCTCAGTGTGAAATCTAATGCGATTGGTATAGACGGAATTCATCCGAAATTTTTTAAATGCTTATTGCCTAAAATTTTACCGTACGTAACTTATGTCTTCAACAGCATTTTGACCACGTCTGTTTTTCCTCACTGTTGGAAGTCGGCAAAAATCATTCCAATTAAGAAATCTAATGGGGATTTTAGACCCATCGCAATACTACCCTTTTTATCCAAGGTACTTGAGCGCATTATGCATACTCAGATAAATTCTTTTCTGAGTCGAAACCTGCTGGTGAATAGGT